GATAAATAAACATATATAAAAATGAATTAGAAATTTTACAGTTAACGATGTAAATGCCAAAATCATTCAAACAGTAATTCTATCTTTTCAAAATGTGCTGTCAAATGCAAAGATGTGGCGACTTTTTAGTTGAATGTTCGACAAGAATGTGCTTTGTCCGCACAAAGTCTTGCAGTACCTGATACCATCAATGTCATATCAACTTTGTTAATGAGCATTTTCCCTTTAATTTACATTTTTAAAAAGTGAATAAACTGGACGTGTAAAATGACTTGAGACTGAACATTAGCAATTTTGATCTTGATATCGTCATTCGCGCAAAGCGACAATGCGAATCTCGTTAGTTGCATTCTCGCAAGTCTCGTTTTCCGGCATCTTCCTGCAACTGCACTTAAGAAGATACACCACTTTTCGTAATAAAAGGTTTTCATGAAAAACAGACCTTCAAATAACGCGTTAAATTTTTCAAAAATATGAGTATTTTTTGTATAAATTGGAAAAATTTGAAATGGTAAATTCGAATTTCCCGCGTGTTGTTTGACCAGGTGTCAGTCTTTAAAAGTAATTTGAGAAGCGCGTGGAGGCAGTTTGATATTCTAAAAATATCTTCTCATTGTTCAACTTTATATTACAAATCGTAGAACATTAGGTGCGAAAACGTATATGTATATTAAGTAGCAATGTAAATCCGCAACAAATATTGTGAGGAAGAACGTGATTTCTCGCAGCCATTTGCTCGAAGAGAAAAGTAATATCGAGGTGATTAATTTGGAATACTTATTGCTCTAAGCGTTTCATTCAAGGCCTAGACCCTATTATAATTTCTAAGAGTTATAAGAATTATCTTGATGGACACGCGCGGCGATTTTAATTTCAATTTGATGTCTAAGCTATCCGTAACGAGCAGCGTCACTGTCATGGTGACTAACGTTTCGGCCAGCGTATTGTGGCCTTCTTCAGCTGGCTTGTTCAGCACTACGCTCTGAAGGCCACAATACGCTGGCCCGAAACGTTAGCCAACTATGGCAGTGACGCGGCTCGTCCTGGGTAGCCTAGACAACATAAACTCCGGCCGCGGAAGCCAACGCAACCATTAATTTCAATTTGCTTCAAATTTCGATTTTAATTTAATTAATTATGATTTGCAATTGAAAATCATTTTGTAGGAAGTTCCATTTAATGTATGATAATTTGAGTTTCACTTTTCAGCTGTCTCTCTGGTTATGAAGTTACAATTTAAGAATAGGAAAGTCGCGATACGTCGTGAAGTTCACGCAATAATCCCTCACTGTTAGGCGGTGTTTCTAAAGCCCGATTTAATGAAGTAGGTAATTGACGGCGAGTAAAGAGGAATGACCTTCCCTGGTTGCGTTCCACTGAGCACATGCTCTCGGAACACGAAAATAAACACTTGAAATAATAGTTATTTATGCACCAAGGTCGTTATAAGGGTTTTCATTAGAACCAATTAACGCCAGTGGTACATACGTAATTTATTTTTTACCTAATTTTATTGATTCAGATTTACAAATTAACTAGATGTACACTTGACTCGGTTTCTTCTTTCATAATCCCCTCCATAAGAGAACATGTATAATAATTCAACTGTTTTCTTATTTCCCTCCCAACTACGGTCCTTTCAATCCAGGTAAGTTATGCAGTGTATATCGAGCTTCGCATTGAAGGCAATAACAAGCTGCAACGCGTCAGTAAAAAACAAATACTTATAATAGTCACAAAATCATATAATCACATTATATGAAGCAGGAGCTTGTTTTTGAGCGACTACACATTACGTTATTCACTAGCTTTAATCAATTTTTACGGTATACACTACGTAATATACCTATCGTCTCCTTTCAGTAGTATACATAACTTTTGCGGCTCTCACACGCAACCGATCTTTATAAAAGAAAGACAATTTCACGCCGACGTGACGAATTACTCTTTGGCGAAAAATATGAAGGATTTGTTAAAAATCGCATCCAAATATTCACGTCAAATGCCACCTGCCAAAGGAACTTCGGCATGAACTTTCTTGGTGAGTTCAACGACGTTTCTGCATTCTGGGCTTCATTTTGGGTCCTGCCCCATTCTGAAAAAACTTAAAGTAAACGTTTATGAAAAACTCAGATGAGAATGCGCGCGCCGCACAGGCAGAACGCGGGCGGCGGCGGCGGGGGGGGGGGGGGACACGATGCGCGATGCTCATCTGTTCGTCAGTGACAACTCGGCGACCTCTCTCGACACGTTTTCACTCTCCGATTGGCAGCTTCCGTGGAAACGGGAAAGACAACCTTACATCACCCACAAATGTCAATCACCGACTTAAATTAATCGGACCTTAGAAGAGTATCTCTTGTGAAAGAAGGTGATACCGACAACGAGGCCATCGTGGATGTAAATAGTGGATTCAAATTTTGTATTTCTGGTCTTAATATAAGGAAAGGTGAACGATCCTTGGAGGCCGTCATTCGAATCTTGAAAAGAAATATAAAGTTTAAATATGAATGTTAATTACTTAATTAATATTAATTATTTAAATTCAGCCATTTTATGTTAAATGTGAAAACGAATAGATCATTTCTCTTCGCGTCGGTACATTTATGTAGATCATAAATACTCTGCATTCAATGGCAGAAAGCTGTTTTCGTTTATTTGTTTGAATTAAACAATTTTATATATTTTCGACTTTCGTTTCTTTAAGAATGTTTCGAATGGCAGTTGAAATGCAAGACATAAATCGTTAAATTATAATATTACATAACCATTAACAATATCGCCAGAATGTACGTGTTGATGTAGCACCACTAGTGTAAATACAATTTCACAATATATACATCACAGGGGCAAAACTAAACCATTGTGTTAATTGAGACGATCTTTGAATATTATATTCCACATTTAGTACTAATTAGTTTTTTGAAAATTTGTAAGTTGTACGATAAATGATTTTAAAGCTAAACTTTGTTAACATTGTTGCTATGGGAAATAATGGTCTTGAACAACATTTTGATGTACTCAGGGTTGCAAAGCGATTGATCGCAATGTCTTGTGACGAATCGCACTCGATCTCACGAGTGTTGTTCAGTTCAAGGTTAAAGGGTTTCATTTGATTCCAGGGCGCGTTTTGAGCAGATCTGAACAGCTGCTCGACAAAGAAAATTACTTGGACCAGCACAGCAAAACACTCAGATAAAGATTAAACAAATTATGCATTTCTTTTAGATTCTTGAATTTGGATACATAATCGGCCGAAAACTGCTAGGGGAAGTTGAAATTATTTTTACTTTTCCGTTAATAAATAATAATAATATAACAATAATAATAATAATAATAATAATAATAATAATAATACACCGAGCGCCATGGCTCAGTGCGTAGCTTGCTGACCTCGCAGCCGGGTTCGATCCCCGGGCCGGCTATCCTGACCGGGGATTTCGTGGTTCCGGTTGGTCATACAGGCTAATGCTGTGATGGTCCAAATAGCCCACGATCACCTCCTATGATCCTATCCCCTCATAATACAAAATTTAAGGCTTAACAATTTTTTCTTACCAATTGATACAGCCGAAAAGCTGGTCCCTACAATTACACACGTCAATCTCTCTCTGGAATGGAATATTACTCGGCCACAGAATAGAAGGTGTTGCGTCGTCAAAAATGGCCCATGCGCAAATAATAATATAAATTAATAAATAATAATAATATTAATAATAATAATAATAATAATAATAATAATGAGCAAGAAATTCGAATCATGGATCGAAAAATCAAAAATCCTGCGTACAATACGTCATGTCGGCCACCCTTGACCTGATGTACATAGACTCCGTGTCACGTAAGGGAGGAGGAAAGGCCTCAGAGAAATTAAAGTCACCTGGCGCAATCCAATAGTGGGGATGGGAAAGTATGTAGTCAGTCATCAAGATGACCCACTAATGAGGCAGGCCATGAAATCTAGCCGAAGAATAGGAAACAGAGGCATCGTAAGTGTAGAAAAAATCATAGCGAAGAAAACTGCAAGAAACGCGAAACTCTGATGCGTAGTACGTACAAAAATGCATGTAATGTGAGTCATAAAAAATGTTTAAAAAATCGTGGAGATACAAACAACCCCATGGACAGTGTATAAAATGGACGAGGTACAGATCAATAAATATAAATCGCTCATGTGGCTTAAAAGGGAAAGAATGAAGCCAGAATCAGGAGTTGTAATAGCCGCCCCGTCACGTCCGAACACGTCATTATGATAAAGCGGTTCTCAAAATTTCGTAAGATGATAAATGCCGCATTTGCCAGGAACAAGTAGGAAGGATTGCATGTAGTATTGTAGTAGGTAGGGTTGCCAGGAAAATCGGTCATATTGTCTCAGCTTGTCCAATTCTAGCAAAGACCGAATACTTGAAAAGACACGACAGAGTGTGTAGTTACCTCCACTAGCAGAGCTGTACCACCCTCGATGTTCCAAACACATACTCCAAGTGGTACGAACTCTCACCAAAACCGGTGAGGACTATGTATCGTACTGTACGACCAACAAATTGAAACTGATCGCACGATAATAATAATAATAATAATAATAATAATAATAATAATAATAATAATAATAATAATAATAAGTTTACTTAATGGGGGAAATAATAACATCCAATTATTATTTGTTCAGGGCCGATGATTTTATGGTATTCACCGTATATTTAAACAAAACGCAACTTACTGAAAATATTAAATTAAAACACTTGCCAATTCGAAATAAAATAGAATATTTATTCAAAGTAATAAAAAAGTTCTCAAGTCCTAGTTGTTTTAAACTGAAATAACAATAAAACATTTACTTCATTTCACAGTTTTCAATATTTGTGTACGAAATTTGTGAGAATTGAGTGTGTAGTGAAGGAACTGTCTGCCTACACCGACATAAGCGCCGAGATGTATGATTGCGAAGTTGCGATTCTACCGTTTGTTGCAACTAGGAGGAAGCGAATCGCGCCGGCAGCATGGGGTCAGAGCGCGGTCCGGAGGCGCCCGGCGACGCGGGGGCGGAGCGCGGGCAGGTGGCGTCCTGCTTCGCCGGCAAGGACGTCTTCGTGACCGGCGGCTCGGGCTTCATCGGGCGCGTGCTCATCGAGAAGCTGCTGCGAGAGGCGCCCGACGTCGGCACCGTCTTCGTGCTGATGCGCGCCAAGAAGGGCGTGCCGGCCCGCGAGCGCGTCCACAGCTTCACCCAGGTGTCGGTGAGTAGGCATCCCTTCAGTCGGAATTACGACTTCACCCAGGTGTCGGTGAGTAGTCATCCCTGCAGTCGAAATTACGACTTCACCCAGGTCTCGGTGAGTAGGCATCCCGTCAGTCGAAATTACGTCTCATTCGAAACAAATCCCCTGTTGGGTTTGAACGTGATTCGAATACCAGGGGATATTTACTCCTGGCTGCACGTGGTGCCCCGCCAATAGCCATTCGCCATTTTTAAACCGCGTGGCGTTGAGGTCCAACATGAGCGACTGTGTGCATGTGTATGGAGCTTAGGAATCTATATCTGAACTTACTATATGGCTACTCTGTTTGCCAAAATTTAAAACTATTTACAGGAACGCAAATTTTAAGCCTGCCTGTCACACAGTCTTTCATATAACGTTTGGACAAAATCTGGCATTGGGCTATGATTCCTAGTCTTTCATTTAAACTTTCTTGCTCTCATTTAAATACTGGTAATGGGCACAATAATGACTTATGATGGGGCATGTATTAATAAGAAAATTAGAATTCTCAGCTCTTGTAATTTATTTGAGAACTAAACTTTGTATTGACTTTAAATTACTATTAACATTATTTATATATTTGTGGGCTTATAGTGTTTTACGTTTGTGCATAATTTAATAATGTCACCAATCAGTCAATTAGTATGTACTTTTTTTAATGAAAATATGTTATTTCTGTGCAATATTTGTAGTTATAATAAAAAATAACATTAACATAAATTTTATTTTTATAAATTTGATATTTGTTGATTTTGTTGAATTTGATAAAAAATATTTTTATCGCTTATTAATTCACAATGTTTGGTGCTTTATAACTATTAACAGGTTTTCTATGCACAGAAAATTAATTAAACAAATAAGTAAATTATTATTGCTAAGTGTGGTCTAAGTAGTAAATTAGTAGTGCAAAGTGTGGTGCATGTTCATGTGCAATGCACTGCCCACCCCACTACAGGATTTATTTATTTATTGTAATTTTAAAAGAAATTTTTATTTCGAACGGTTGTTTGTTACATTGAAATTGAACTCAGTAGGCATAATGATAATTTTTATTATTAATACAGATTCCTGTTTTCACAACCAGTTTGTATTTCACATTCAACAAAATTATTTTTTTAGTTCCTTCACTTTCTGTCACGTACCACTGCACATCCATAGCGCATCAAGATCTCTTAGTTAAACAACAGGGACTCCTACCTTTGACTGTAGCCTATTGAATGGTACTCGAGGTGCTTCAATGTAATTCAAAAATTCAACAGTAGAAGTCATTGAATACTATGAAGAACAATGTATATTTAAAAAGAAGTTTTAATTTCAACATATGTATGATCTTTAAATTAATAGGAACCACATCTTCATTTGTTGGAGTGTAAATTGATCGTTAAGAAAAAACACTTTTAATCACGCTGTCTTCATTCTTGACAATTGTGCAAAAATCATGAGCAAATAAGATTCCACCTTCACCATCAACTTGCATTTTGTTGATTCTCAATATCTTAATTTTACATATACTTGTAAATACAATTAAAGCACGTACTTATAAATACAAAGCACATGTACTTATAAAAACAATTATATGAACAAATAGCCGGTAAAATAAATATTAACGACGTGAGAGACTCTGAAGTGAATAAAATTATGGGGTCTATGTCATCTTACACAGTACATGTAGCATTCTCCCTACTAAAAGTTTAAAGAAAAAAAAATTGAGCCGTTTTTGAGGAATCTTAATTTTGTATTTTTTAATTGCACATCTTGCTCACAATATTGCGCGAAAACTATTAAAATTTCCAAAAAATGTACATGACCTTAACGACAGAACTCTCTAGGGAGAAATATTTTATTTGCAGGAAAAATATCTATCTTCAATTCTGTAATTGTGGGGAGACGCCCAAAAAATTTTGGAATTAAATATGAAAATCGAATCTATGCAACCTTTATAAGTGTATTTTAGTCTATTACAAAAAAATTAAAGAAAAATTTGGAGCGGTTTTTGTGAAATTTTTGAAAATATCGTGGGGATTTATGTAAAGGGCCCCCAAATTCTAAAGATTGATTTTCAAAATCTCAAAGCTTTGAATCTAGCAGATTGGCAGGGCTTTCTTCAATTTGAAAAAAATCATACATATTGTACAGCTAGAGATGTTCACAGACTGATAGATAGACGGACAGAGAGACGGATGGACAGACAGACATATTGCTGTCAATTGGTTTATGGGTATGAGGACCCACAAAACCGGGATTCTGGCTGCACCACATGTTACAGGATTCTTTTCTTCATTTAGCAACTGGACTCATCCACTTTTTCGTTATCAAGGCCTAGAAATGATTTTTTTGCAGAAAATCTGCGATTTCTTCGCGCATAACTTACCCTATACTACGTATAATACTCCGTATGTACATACGTATACGAGAAAGTAAAAATGGATGTTGGAATATTTAAAAACGGTAAACGCAATGAAATTTTAAAAATCATTGGACGAATGTATAATAAATTCTTGGCAAGTCTGAACAACATTCCAGATTTTCTTATCAAACGCATTGGTCGTACAGTGCAATGGCACTCTTATTTTGCAATTTCTCTCTAAAACAGGTATAATCCCAGTATTCAAAATGGAAATAGTTAAAGCATCGTTAGAAAGGAAAATAGAAAACTACAAATATATCTCCATGCTATCAGTATTTTCAAAAGTTCTGGAAAGACTTTTCAACAATTTCTCAAGGCAAATAATGTCCTCACAAATGCAACATGACTTCGACAGAAATAAATCCAAAGATCGGCCATCTTCTCTTTTTCAAATGACATACTTGTTGCACTGAATCAGAAGGAAATTCTCATTGGCATTTTCGTAGATTTGTCAAAAGCCTTTGACATTATTGACCATCAAATATGTTTAACAAAACTAGAAATGATACGAATTCTAGGAATTGCAGATCAATGAATCAAATCATATTTATCAAACCGTATCCAAGCAGTTGTCCTCCAGCACACTAAAAAAACAAACTCTCCTCAGACTACTCCTGCTCTCAGATGATAAATTGTGGAGTCCCGCAAGGATCCATTGTGAGGCCAATACTATTCCTTATATACATAAATGGCATGCCTTTGGCTTTAAGGAATCACAATTTTCTTTTTTTGTTGAGGAAGTGTGTGTGTGCAGGTGCGTGCACCTCTTAGACGTAGGTGCCACCCGCTGGGTGGTGTGAGAGCGAGGGCGTGTCGTTGTGCAGCTGTTCGACGGGGTGCGCCGCCAGCAGCCGCACGCGATGAGCAAGGTGCAGGGCGTGGAGGGCGACGTGGCGCTGCTGGGGCTGGGGCTGAGCGACGGCGATCGCGAGCTGCTGGAGGAGCGCGTCGCCTTCGTCTTCCACGCGGCCGCCAGCGTGCGCTTCAACGACCCGCTGCCCAAGGCCGTGTGCCTCAACACACGCGGCACCAGCGAGCTCTGTGAGATGGCGCTGCGCATGCGGCGACTCGAGGTACCACACATTACTTACACGCGCTTAGCATTTATGTTGTTTTTATAAATTAACATCTAGTGTGGCTTAAGCTGCTTGGCAGACATGTATCAATTGATGCCACTGACTGGACCGGATTGTTCGAGGGTTCGATTCCCGATGTTGCCGGATGTTTCGACATAAGCTAGAGAGTTATGACGAATTCCTCCACCGCCTGGAGGAAATATCTCGCGGCCTGTGGCTCTGATTGGTAGTTTTGCGTAGTTCTCCGATCAACTCGAGGGGAATGACAGGACTGTTCTCTAATAACCGGGCCAGGGAGCGATCTTTCTTTCCTCTTTTATGTCCTTTCCTCAACTCTTACGCACACCTGCCCTACACTACCGCACACGTCGGGACACGTCAGGAGTTTAGATCTTGTCCCGGCTGGGGCGGTGCCGCATTGTTTGGGAGGTGCCCGGTTAGGGAAAGACCCCGCAAGCCGAAGTGTAAATTGGCGCCCGATATATCGCGCGGCGAGGTAACCCCCATCTCCCGCGATGAATTCTTTCACTACACGTACGAGACTAATGATCTTAGTAGTTGAGTAATCTATCAATGAATCAATTTTGAATCAATCAATATCACTAATCAATCAAGGAATCAATTTTGTTTTGCCAAACTTGCTATCTTCAATAATGTAGTTATGAGGGGGTTCGAAAACTCAATCAAATACACCCCACAATTCTGGTGTCCATATCCGAATGCAGTAATTTCCGAACCGGGTTTTCGCATTGGAGGACATCAAGCGGCAATTTTTGTGGCCTCCACTCTCCCATCATCGTGAACTTTATCTGTTGCATCCTAAAAAAAGATATTATCTGACTCTAGCAAGAAAAAACGTCCCTGAAACCTTGCTGCGTCTGAAATTGCCGTTAGTTTTCTTCCCATCCTTTCCAAAGCGAGTTCTAAAATGATTCATTACTTTGCATACAACTGATGTACGGCTCTGTCATTGGCTAATACAGTTTTGTCACCACACGTAAAAATTGGTACAACGGTGGCTAACTTCCAATCGGGCCCGCTTAGATTATTGATTGAAATATGAAATCGTCTTGTTAGATACAGTACAATTTTCTCTTTTCCGGGTTTAATAGTGTCAGTGAAAATGCCATTTGTCCCCGTGACTTTCTAATTTTTACTTTCCCGTATGTGTACATATATACGTCGTAATGTACGTAGTAAAGGGAAAGATATGTAATGCTTCGGAAAATCGATTTCGAGGTTTCAACGAAAATACACGTTCTGGGGTCTCTGAACCCGAAAAAGTGTGTTTTTTTTAAATATCCGTCTGTCTGTCCGGTTTATGTTAATAACCCTAGCGCCTAATCCATGCGTAGGATTGCTTTCAAATTCAAATTCAAATGAACCTATGTTCATTTCCCTTGAATCAAAGCTCTGCGATTTTGAAAAACATTCATTAGTTTTGGGGGTTCTCTATATGAAGCCCCTCGGACATTTTCAAACTTCTCTCAAAAATGTTTCCAAATTTTTTCTATAAATTTCTTCTAAAAATACAGTAAAAGACTAATTAAGTTGGCATCGGTCTAATTTTCAAGGTAAACTCTGAAAATTTCAACGGTAAATTTTATGCTGTGACTTCCTATAACTACAAAATTAAAAATAGAGATTTTTCCCTGAAATGGAATTGATTGCTCATAGTTTTTTCTTTCATTAAGGTCATGTACATTATTTCAAAAAGTCTTATTAATTTTTTTCTAGCTTGTAGTGTTTGTAACGCTTTCCATTTCAAACCTTTTTAGTGGTTTATTCACTGTTTGTTTACAATACAATTTGTAAAAAAATACTCATAATCCGATTAATATTTTTGTTTTTCTGTGCACTTAAATATGTGTAAAATTTCTCCAGATTCCTTCATTCTGTGCTGTTAGTTCTCTAAAACGTGAATATGAATGAAATATATTGTCTTTTCTCTTTCAAAGGCTTTTATCCACGTGTCAACCGCCTACAGCAATTGCAACCGACTAGAGATTGACGAAAAGTTGTACCCTCCTCCAGGCGATTGGCGGACCTTCAACGAATTAGTTGACAAGATGGATCCTCTGCTTCTGGACATTCTGACCCCCAAGTGAGTAGCTTGTTCCTTTCCACGAATTTCTTTTCATTTATTTATTATTAACAGTTGAGTGATACTTGTGATGATTACGCGCAAATTTTGCGAAATTCCATGCCTTTGAAGATATTGAGAAGGAAAGAATACTTCGCAAGGTTATTACTAATATTAATATTAACTTCAAATACTAACAAGATATGCTCCCAGCTATGAGAGGTGTGGATTATTTAATTATATTATATTAGGAAATAATAGGTAAAAAATGAAAACTGCGTACGATTTAGATGATTAAAATGATTCTATACCTGAGAACATCAAACAAAAAGCACATTTTGATGAAATTGTAAATAATATTAAGATTGTCATTGAAACGTGTAATGTTAGGTCAAAGTTACAGGTGTTAACATAAGTGCCGAATTTGGAAAAAAAGAAATACAGGATTGTTTAGGAATATCTCGTGCGATAGCTGATTCTGTTAGAAATTTTGTTACAGAAAAAGGTATTTATGCGTTACCAGGTAAAAAGACAGGTAGCAATGTTCTGTCAGAAGAAGTAAAACAAAAAATTATGAATTATTATTGCGACGAAACGAATGGAAATTCAAAAATGTTAGCAGGAAAAAAAGATTGTGTAAGTATCGGAAATAAGCAGTACAACAAAAGCAATTTTTATTATTGACTTTAAGAGAATTGTACACAATGCATAAAACCAAAAAAGTCAAATCAGTCTGTCAACGTTTTCTTCTCTTCGCCCGAAATAGTGGGTCTTCGCAGGCTCTTCAGGGACGCATTCAGTTTGCGCATGTACCATTCATCAAAATGTCGAATTGCAGCTATTTGCGCTTAATTCCAATCTTTCGTTGAATGATGTAATAACAAAACTTTTTTTGTAATGTAAAAAATCAAGACTGCATGCTACGCAAGTGCTTAGAGTGTTCTAAACGAGATGTAAATACAATTTTAACAAATTTATTTTTAAAGACATCTGAAGAAGAGGAAATGTGTGAAAAGATGACGATGATAATATAAAGCTCAAACAGTGGGTTTTCACTGATAGAACTGATTTAATTACACAACTCACTTCAAAACGAGAATTTTTGAACTTCTCAGTATACTATGATTAAACTCGTACCGCATGATTTTGTTACTAAAAAACAATACAAACACTTGTGTAGTTTAAAAGATAACTTTACAGAAAAAGAATGTATAGTTCTAATGGATTTTAGTGAAAATTATAATGTTATTACACAGGATCAAGCGCAAGCATATTACTGGACGAAATATGCATGCTCTGTGCATCCAATTATAATTTACTTCAAGGAAAATGGAGAATTAAAACATCAATGCCTTTGTTATTATCAGATGACATAAAACATGATGTGCAAATTGTTCATATTTTTTTAAACAAAATTATTAATAACATAAAAGAAAATTGTCCAAACGTGGAAACAATTCACCATTTCAGTGACGATGTCCGGAACAATATAAAACCTGTCATAACTTCCTGCGCTTATGTGAGCATAAAAAAGTTGTACAATATGAATGCTACTTGGACATTTTTTGCTACCTCTCATGGTAAAAGTGAGAAATGATGGTGTGGGTGCTACTGTTAAACGAGAGACAACCAAGGAAAGTTTGCGCAGACCGAATGATAATCAGATTAGACACTGACCAATTATTAGAGTTTTGTAAAAATCACAATAAAAACATCCAGTGTGAAAGTGTTAGAAAAACTGAAGTTGATGAATATCACAATTGTAACAAGTGAAAAAGCATTTAAAGTTCCAGGTACACGCAACTTCTATGAGTTTGTCCCTCGCTCAGACAGTATTATACAATGTAAAAACATAAGTACAGAAGAAAATTACTCTCCTGTATTGGATTTAATTAACAAAAAAGCTAAAATAAATATCCCGTCAAATATTCTTTATTATATCTAATATATGTTAAAATTAAATAACATGATTTATGAATAAATTCAATTAAAATTATTGTTATACGTTTTCGCAAATTCGCCAATTTATCTAGTATGTAATAAAATTGTGTTTGAAAATGTCACACAATGATTTCTCAATCATTTTCTATTCAGAAATATGTAGTTTTCCATGATTTTAGCCAAAGAAATGAGTTATGAAATGAGTAAAATACAATAGGTATCTCTACAACAGTATGCACACAATAAAATCAATGAAAAATGGTTTCAGATACAATTACCACCAAACAATGTTTAATATTATGAAAGTATGTCTAAAAAATACTTATATTGTTGTTTGATAATTTTAAAAATATGAGCAACATGAATTTTTTAATTTTTTATACAAAATTGACTCTTTTTTAAAAAATACGCCATTTTGACCAGTAAAGACTAAAAATTTACAATTGAAAACGCCACCAATCGATTGTTTGATATATTTTCATCCAGAATTAATGTATTTTGGTGTTTTGCGAGGTAAATTGACTTATTATGAGTAAAACAAAATTAAGTATGTCTAAAATCGCCTTTTATCCATTCAAAATCTATTGCATGTAAAACAGAAAATTATTATCGTAGAAGGCTGAAACTTTCACTAATAAATCTTTGCAACATATCAAACGAAGTTATTGTCGTTTATAAAAAATCTGAGTGGATCGGGTGTGCGGTCCTGCTGAGTTCGCGTGGATTACCCATAGTCATAATAATTAAAGGATCAGTAAAAGACGCTTTTACTGATTTTTGAAACAATTGCCATGTATTTTAAAATAACTGATAAGTAATATGAAATATGTAAAATGGAAAATAAATAAATTACTAACAAAGGCAATGTGTAACTAATGACTACTCTCTGAAAAACATCTTATCCTGCGAGGTACTACGTGTTTATGATCAAACACCGAGGATGGAAATCAAAGGAAATGGGTGAGAGAAACTAAGTTAAGTATGACAGGGAGATATTTTACAAACCCTTGTCAGACAGAAATTTATCTTTTTCCTTATTTGTCTGTCTGTACTTGGCGCGACAGCCCGTGAACGCGCCCAGGTCTGCCGGCGTCGTCCCTGCCTCGCGGCCGTGGGTTAAGGGGTACGTGTCGTTAGCACGTTGACATCCCCACGCCGTATTCCGGTCTTGTCATCCTGAGAAGTGAATTTTCTCATACACACAGCAACTTATACTGGGATATTGCAAGGAAAACGCACACTATAGTCGTGGCTCAACCGGGAATCGAACCCAGGGCCGCTTAAGGGACAGTGAGCACGCTGACCAAGAGCTAGCCTCGAGCCTTTTCCTTATTTACGTTAAATGGAAAACAAACACATGATCAATACACACAAAGTCTGTCAACTTATTACACCTAGGTACTAAAATTCTTTCAATATTCTATTGCATTTATCAGGTTGGTGGAGAATAGCATCAATACCTACATCTTTACTAAAGCATTGGCAGAGGACGTAGTGAACAACTACCGACATCAACTGCCCGTTGGAATCGTTCGGCCATCTATAGGTACGTACACATTACTTACGTAAAATAAATAAACCAGATACAATTTCATGAAGTATTCCGTAGAGTTATTACTAGGGAGCGGGTTTTTATGTAATAAAAAGGAAAAACATGTACACATATGTATTTAGTTTGTAAAAAATGTGTAAATAAAAACACATTATGTAAAAAACAAAGTCATTCATAATATTTGCATTATTATTTTTTAATAATCAGACAGTAAAATTATTAGTAATGTTTAAATGAAATTTTAATTTCCGAAATGAAAATTGACGTCAATATTAGGCAGAGATTTGAGGCAGCTCTGGTTCCACATCTACTGAGGTAACAGGATGCGTTCAATCCGTTCATGTCTTTTCCATGTCTCAAATCATTTGCATTTCTTTCCAACGAGGATTTTTCTCCAAAACTTCAATGATTTTTTTCTTTATTTGACTTCCTTTTTTCTTTGTGCTTGTAGTTTTTTGAACATATCATTGACAAAAGAAATGCTAATCTAACGGCATGTTTTGAGACTCCAATTGTGTTATGGCGCGTGCCAAAACAACTGCATTTAATGAAACTTATAGCAGGTCTTTCTTCAATCTGGGATCAGCCACCAAAGATTTGGTATTTTCTACTTTCGAAGTTGAATCAGAAGCGAGTTCTAAAATATTTTTTATTTGACTGAAATGTTCGCAGTAGTACTGCGCTGCTTCCAATCATGTACTCCATCTCATAATTACTGGTTGGAATGGCAAACACAGATCTGGAAAACTCCCTTTAAATATTTTCATGCGGCTTGATACTCTCAAAAATACTCTTTTTACCGACGATATCAACGTCACAAGAGCAAATTGATTTCTCACAGTTTCCGCAACTCTATGAAGTGCATGAGTCTGACAGATTAGATCATTTTTGATAAAACACCTGCAGTGCTTTTCCCGGCTTCACCATGTACCATCGGAGCAGCAACAGATAAAAACTAGTGGTGCTGCCAATGCATATACTTTCTCGCAATGTTTCTAAACGCTCCGCTGTGTTATATTTATTTGCACATTATATTGAACAATTGATTTGATGTGACACACGTTTTACAAATAGAACAAGACAATTGTACTCTTCTCTAAAATTTCAAAATACGAAAATTACATACAGACACTCTCCGTATATTTTGAATTTTAACAGATAGTATATGTGAGTAGAATTACTTCAAATGATTTTCAGTTAAGTTACTGAAATTCGGCAAGTGAGAGTTGTGACAAATTATTACCCCCGATCCAGGCTCCAACCAGCAGTTCTTCCCTCCAAATCGCTGTCTAAATCCGACATTTAACTATTCTGTATAACCCGGGTTATTCAGAGAATTTGCACTTCTATAATAGTCACAAGCAACGAAAGACAACACTTGCTTTGTCGAGATGTGTTAGAAATCCGATAAGAGGTGAAAATTGTTTAGAAGTTGAAAATTCGAAAATCACATACAGAGACTTGCAGTTTATTTATGTTCATTAATCTCATTTGCGATTAGAATTGATTAGAATGGTTTTCAATAAAGTTCCTGGAATTATCAATTATTTCCTGCGGCAACACAGAATTGTCGCAAATAATAATTCCAGATCAAGACTCAAACCAGCAAATCTGCCCCCCGAAGATTCTGAGTCCGCAAACACCACTTAGCCTCCTTGGCCACCCGGGTGGCACATAGTTTTTACACTTATACAATACCAATAAGCGTATGGTGGCTTCAGTTCTAGCATCAGGAAGTCGAAAAATCGAGAAAATGTGAAAAAAATGTCCTTTTGGCAGCCAAAGAAGGTATCTGGGAAGAGAATAAGTCACAACTGAAATCCTAGTTCAGTCTCAAGAGATTAGAAAGCTAAGTATTGCGAGAAAGTCTGTACCATTCTATAGAATCACTAGTTTATTTATTTATTATTTAAAAAGCTATTTTTACAACAACTTTTTCTGAATCAAAAAGATCTCCAACTTTGTACTTTGATTTTTTTTGCGGTTTTCGAAAAAAACTAGGAATACCCTACAATGGAAGTAGCACATATTTCTTACCGTCCCTTATTACAGATGTGAAGAAAATTTAAAAATTGTTTCAATTTGGAATGGTTTTTGAGAAAAAATTTCGTACATTTCAAACGCAACTCAACTATTTTTCAAAACTTTAACATGGCATTTTTAAAGAAGTAATTTTGTACGACAGACTTTTCCTGAGATAAAAAACTCAATCTTCAATTATGTGCTTTTAAAACTTCTTTGCAATTTTCGAAAAAAACAGCAATACCCAAAAATGGGACCAGGACTTCTTGCTGTCCCTTATTACAAGTGTGGAGAAAATTTAAAGAAACATATTGCAAAATTAAAAGAAGCGAAATTTCGGCCTTTTCTGGCAGATGATTACATAACTTTCTCTTCCTACGAAGAATTCGTAAGGCGAGAAAGAAAAAAGAAAACGTTTTCGTTTATTACTCCACTTGGCTTTAGAATACTCAATGTATCACACAGATTCTTGCTATAGATGCGTGATTACATATATTCCAATATTTAACTATTAAAGAGATATAGTACTGAATGCGATCGAGAGGGAAGTTTTCCTCATTATGTTGGCAATATATCTGCCTTCGACACCAGTGGTTTCATTGGTTGATATTCTGTTGCTATTTTTATATCTCGAATTTTATCAAAATATTACAAATAAATATCTTGAAAATACTTTTTCCTTGATTGTTTTCATTAGATATGTTTTGTTAATCTAGTATTTTTTATTATAATTCTCTTCCCTCAAAAAATTGAAATTAGGATTTTTTGAGCTCTATCTAAAGCTCGGTACACGTCTGTACTAAAAGTTGGCTTACCGCTTCATGTGGCGAAGTTGGGCCGAAGATTTGTTGAAGCTTTGGGTTCCTTTCCTTGTTTTCATTATGCTTGCATACTGTTTTTCTTTCCCACTAAATTGATTAAAATATTTGAAGACAAAGATGATAAATCCGTTCTGCAGGCAGACATGTAACGACATGCGAGAGACATGCGATGCGATGGTAGTGTCAAACGTTTGTATTTTGCAACATCCGAGCTAGTCTTCTAGCTGTTCTTTCTCCGCGCAAAAATATAACAAATAATTTAGAAATATGCACAAATATGTGCTTATACCGAAATATGTAAAATAACAGGCCTTATTTGTCTCAGAATGTCTTGAAACAAATAGTTGCAGTTGAAAATTAAGTTATCAAATTATAAATGCGGAGGGCGTACAATACGTTGTAGACCTGAGCATGGATATGAAATTTGACAGTAAAACTCACCTCATTATTTTTTAATGTAGTTCACCTTCATTCAACACATTTGGTCCTTCTAGTCTCCAGTGATTGCCTCCATTTACTCTCAGAATAGAAGTAAACATCTTGACTGTCCACGTACCGTATCACAGCTTCCTTAACTTCTTCGTCGTCAGAAAATCCTGAAAAGTTTTCATGTTTCGAAGCAAAAAGCAGTCCCTGGGAGCCAGATCGGGACTATTGCCCTGTACGAATCCACATTCCTTCACAGCATCTGGTAATTTGCGCGACTTGTGTGCAGGCCCATTGCAGCAACAACTCACCAGCAGGCAACTTCCCTTGACCTGTTTGACAGACTCACATCCTTGTCTTGTGTTGAACTCTATTGAAGAGCAAACAATGTGGAATGTATTCTACAAGCACAACATCTTCTTGTCCAAAAAACGGTAGTCGACTGACGTCTGTACACACAATTTTTGTAGTGTTACCTTTTTTGAGTGACCCCTTGTGCTTCCATTGCAGTAGCTCTTGCTTAGTCACGATGGTGAACCCATAGTTCATCTCCTATTGTAATTCAAGTGTAAAATTTGTCTGGATTTCATGTAAGCAAGTTCAAATTCTCTTTGCAAGATTGCTCTGAAATGATTTCTGCTCGTGAGTCAACACTCTTGGCACCCAGCGGGATATAACCTTCGACATCAATTCTTCATGGATGACACTATGAATCGCGACATCTGAAACGCATTAAGTTCATAAACTATAATACTGACCTTAACACGACGACCTTCAAAAATCAATCACAATGGTCTCCACTTTCCTTGGAAGGTGCTTCCACAGGCCGTGGAACATCTTTAAGCGACTCTCTCCCCACTTACATTGCTCGACTTATTAATTAACTTTATATGAAGGTGCATCATTACCATATGCAACGTTCATTATCTCGTGCATTTCCTTAGGCTGCATCTCTTCCTTATGGAGGAATTTTATCACTGAACTATGTTCCAAAACTAATTTTCTCTGTTGACCCGCACGACACTGCACTTGACGTTTTCTCACATCAAGAGCTTACGGCAGACTGATTTGTAACTGAGGCTGAAGCATTCCAAGGTATGTCCCTACCTGCTTGTGCACGCTAAGCTCTCCAACAATGGCGTAAGATACCGAGATTGATAACTTATTGATTTTCACTTTTTTTTATCGTTAGTAAAATGTACTACTTTCTCCTTTACTTAACTCAATAAACCATTTTTGAGATGAAAACTTTTACAAACGTTCCAACAAGATTGATTGACAGAATAATAAGCGTTACTAAAATCATTACTAAATATTATTACAGTGCAATTTGGGAGTAATAGAGTTTTTTTTCTTTCTTTGTAGTGTGTCCTTCAGTGGAAGAACCCTTCCCAGGTTGGACGGACAACTTTTATGGGCCGACGACAGTACTGCTGGGTAACGGCATTGGAGCATTACATGTGAATTTGGCTGATCCTGAAGTCGACATGAATTTAATACCAGTAGATTATGTCGTTCGAGCAATTATGTTATTAGCTGTAAAGCTTGTAATGCACAGGTTTGTTCCTATTCTTTCCTTGAGGTAAATGCAGTATATTGAAAATATCGCAACTGTCTTTAGGGATTTTTCCATTCTCAAAGATATACTTTGATTTTTAATTTTTAATTTAGTAAGTATATACAGAGTTATATATGTAATATAAAGTAAGTATGTAATTCTGTGGAAATCAATTTTGAGATTTCAACGGGTTCTGGAGTCCCTTGATACCAAAAAAGTTTATTTTATTGCTGTTTTCAAAACGTCTGTCCGCATATCTGTCTGCGAATGACAATAACGCCTAAACTATTCGCAGGATTTTTCCTAAAACGAATATTCTGCCGCCGATCTAGCTCGTTTTATGAGCCTGCGACTCTTAAAAGATTCCTTTAAAATTTGGGGGTATTTTATATTAAGCCCATAGGATGTTCTCGATTTTTTCCAAACGTGGAACCAATTTTGTCCTAACATTTCTTGTAATAATAGAGTGAAATACACTTATAGAGATGGCATAGGTCTGATTTTTACTCTGAGTTTATGAAAATTGCGAAATATCGTTTATTTATTGGCATCTTTCTACAACTACAATATTGAAGATAACAATTTCTTCTTCAAATGAAATTTATTCTCTACAATTAGTTCTTTCATTAACGTCATGCACTTTAAAAACTTTAGATTTTTGCGTATTTTTTAGAGAAATTTATTTATTTATTTATTTATTTATTTACGTCCAAAACAGTAAAAACTGTGTGTGACGTGCTATGGGGAGAAGTTAATTGGAAGTTACATACATGACCAGAAGCAAAACAGCGGGCCATCTAAGCATTTGCTTAAGAATCAGGAAAACTTGACGAAAACCTGATCGAGATGGTTCTTTAGAATTATACAATCCAAATGGTACATAATACATTAAATGTCATTGTTAAAATTAATATTACTTTCCTTTTCGATGCTCGGTATAGTCTCTAATTGTTTAGAAACAGTTTTCTTTTCATTTACTATTAATTTGTTATTACGAAATCAATTTGAAATATCTGATATTGTACTATTTACGGTTTCCTTATTACAAAGAATATTCGTATCGTCCGCAAAGAGAACTGTTATTACGTTTTTAATCGTCGAGGGCATATCGTTTACGTATAGTAGGAAGAGAATAGGATCTAAAAACGATCCCTGCTCGACTCCACATGCAATTGGTCAAGAATCAGAAAGGTGTGTACATAATGTTCCATTATTCTAGTAAGGTATTTCTAGTCTCTGAGATGGCTGTTTAAGGAACGAACACAACCAATCTAGAGCAACACACAACTAATTCCATACGAAGGTAATTTTGAGAGTAAAATGTTATTATCAATTACGTCAAAGGCATTTGAAAGGTCTAAAAAAATTCCAAGAGGTGCTTTGTTTTGATCCATGGATGAGACGACATATTTAAGAAAAGAAAATATGTCTGTTTCCGTAGATTTTGATTTTCGAAACCTATGTTGGCAATCGAAAACGCGTCGTGTTTACTAAGAAATGTTTTCATTCGTACGTAAAAAAGTATCTCTTATGTTTTTGAAAAAACTGACAAAAGAGAAATTGGTCGATAATTTTGAATTTCATTTTTGTTGCCTTTTTTGCGGAACTTGCGTCACACTTCTACAAGACTGGCGAAAACCCCGGAAACGTCCAGCTGATGGGGCGCCCGCAGATGATGCAATCTAGTATTTACAGTAGGGACAATTTTTTCACGTTATTGTATTTATGAGCACGTGTGTTCTAAATAATTACATATAAAGTATCTCGAAAACCCAACCGTTTTCTGTGATAACCAACTCAAAATTCCGCATTTTCAGAAACGCTGAAACGCTATTTCTCAAAAACAGCTACAAATGTTTTCTCCAAACATTTCGAAGGAATGCACTTTTTAATATGACGTAAAGTTCATCAAGGGGACTTTTTTTGTTGTTTTTTTAATTACACCAATATAATATTTTGAAAGATCTATCACGCCTTTAATATGCAAATTTCCAGTGATTTGTAAACACTATTGCATTTGTGACTGGAAGTGCTTGAAATAACTTCATATGAAGTTTTTCGGAAACTCAAATGTTTTTTGTGAAAATATGTTCATATTTCACATTTACAGTAGCGCTTAAACGCCATTTTCTTAAAAACGGCTACAAATTTTTCAAAGAAAATTGCCATTTATGGCGATGTTTTACCGTTCTTTAATATTCTTACTATAATATTTTCGTTCTACTATTATGAAACCGAAAAATTAAGAAAATGTCAAAAATGGGGCACACAAAATTTGGGCGGCGATAGATGGCAGCTGGTATGTGGCAACTTCAAATAGCTAGCCGAGACCAAAGGAAATAGAAAACAAATTCTGGAAAGTCTGAGCCATTCTATGGTAGTATCACTAGTTTAAAAGATGACATTTACAGTTATATCTAATGAAGCTATATTGTATAGTGACTGGTCGGGAAGGGTGATATCAGTAATATTTAGTCTATTTGATACATAAAACGACTGAAAATATTTAGCAAATGCGTTTACAATAGATATATCATCTTCTAATGTAACTTCTTCAAATAGTATGAATAGTATAGCTATACCACAATGGAAATTTGGACTTAATGAGTCTTTTTTGGCTATAGGTTTCGATACAGTAGAATAAAAAGCCATAGAAAACATTTACACTATCATGAAAAAAAGGTTATCAACTGAGATGAATGTAAAAAGTGAACCCAAGCAGTTTATAAATTGACTGAAATCCGCTGCATCAAAATCACACGCCCAGTCATCACAAATAGTACGTACACTAATATCACTAAAGTATTTACAGGTAATGCTGGGTGATACTTATCTTCTGATATAATTATATTGTAGGCATGTTTCCAAAAAAACTTTGAATTATTGGAAGACTAGATCAAGATACGTGCCATATTCATTTGGAGTACTATTGAATTGAAAGAGGTTTAAAAGACATACATGCTGAGAAATAATTTGCTATGTTTCTCTTACGCAAAGTTGTCAAATTGTTGAAAGATGGATAACTACTGTATTTGATACTATACCAAGAGCATGCATCCATTTGATATCAGGATAACGTCTGTGCGGTTAAGTCTAAGGTCTGTACGGTTCCACAGTGAGATAACATGACGTCTTCAGATGTCTAGGGAGGAAAAGAAATAGCTCCAAAATTTTTTATGTATGCGAATAAATTCATGTTCACCATTTCTACACACAGGAGGTACGAGTCTTTCATAAATATTTTTGCCACTTAACATTGTTGACACCACTAGCAAGAAAATGAAAGTGGAGAGAATTTTTTTTTATATTCATTAAAATTACTAGATTTTTACATGCATTACTTATTAACTCAAATAAACGACGCAATTTAAAATCGGTTTTAAGTAATTTCTAAAATGTTATTTTTAAAACGTATAACAAGAGCTCGAAGAAGAAACGAACAAAGAAATATGAAATATTACAGAAATTCTAACTTACGTATCTTCCAAGTGCTTCATAACACCTCTAAAATTACGTTCACGACTCTCAGAAAATAAGGAACAGGCGTCGGTTTGACGCCAAATTTCTTCTAAAATACTTATATGTTCGTAAACTTCAACTTGAATTTATTTGAACATCTGTTTAGATGAACATATTTCATTAAGAAAAAAATGTATCTTCATGACTGTAGTTGTAGAAAGACACCGAACATTTTTTTCAATATTCGACCAACCAGGGTTTTCAACCACCATGAGACCTGCGCCATTCCCTTAAACGTCCTGCAGACGACCCAACAACAAAATTTCATCAAAATGGATCGCGCCATTTTTTGAAACATTTGAAAATTCCCCTGCAGCTTCATGTAAAGTACCCTCCAAAATTAAAATATCGGTTTCAAATTCAAAGGGCCGCGACATTAGATAGATCGATTGGGGAATATCAATTTCGGAGAAAATTAGTAGAACGATATACCGTTGTTAGAGACGGACAGACATGTTTCACCGTCAATCGACTTTTCGGTATCAAGGATCCACAAAACGGATTCTGGCTACACCACGTGTAGGAGGATTTTTTCTAAATTTATCAACTGCATTTAGCCACATTTTCGTTACCAAAGTCCTGTAAGAAGACTTTTTTGCCGAAACGTTGCCCTCTTTTTGAGCAGCATTACAAAACTTCATTTTAAGAAGAACCTTCTTACGAGCGAGAAAATTACAATAGTATTAAATACAAAATAGGGTATAAATAAAAATCAGATTTTTATTTCTTCAAAAATAATTACATTTTTTAATATACTTACTAATTATTAATTTTGCCAATTTTCCTTAAAATACAATTCGCACCGTTACGAAAGTTATTGCGTATGTGGAAATGTATTTTAAAAAAATGCCAGTATCCGTGATACCTCTGCTAAAATGCATCACGGAATAGCGGATCAACATTTTTGCAACTGCTATTCCCAAAGTCTCGGAATGTGTGTGTGTGTGTGTGTGTGTGTGTGTGTGTGTGTGTGTTCGTTTTTATGTCAGATTGTAGTGTAGGCCTTCTGAGAAAATTTTATGATACTTTGAATTCTGTGAATATTCACTATATTATTCAATTTACAAAACACAGAATAAGATGGTGCCTAAATATTTGCATGGAACTGAAAGCACATGAAATACAATTCTAAAATGTTTTTCTTGATTTCAGGAGTACAGGTACTCTTCCAATTTGTAATGCAACATCTCATAACAGACAATTGCTTAAACTGCAAACAATTAAAGAATGCATGTATAGTTGTCTGGCTGAACTTAGACTTCCACGTGTTTACAAGTGGTTTTCTTTAATTCCAAAAAATGTATTTATTTTTAGAATACTTTTCATTTTAATTGATCTGCCAATCGCCATAGCATTAGATTGTATAGCATGGTGCACAAACCAACCAACAAGGTAGGCAGATTTTGGTATTGGAGTATTGGAAATACATATAATATATATACATATATATATATATATATATATATATATGTAGAATACAGAAAATAATCATTTTCTCTTTAATTTTTTCAGAATGATTAAAGTTCATCGTCGAAGTATTGTTGCTCAATTAAAGAATTACTATTTCTCTCATAACACATTTAAGTTTTACAACTCCAATTATTTGAGTTTAAATGAAACGTTAGGTCTGAAAGAAAAACAGCGTTACAGGTTAACAGTTAAACATATTTTATGGGAACCTTTCATGCTTTTGACTCAACACGAGATAAAAAATTACTTTTTCCCGAAGAACGCTAAAAATCCTGGACCAATCTGTATATTGTGAGTATCTCTTCCTCTCCTTGAATATTTATTGTATGTGTGTGTGAGTATGTGTGTATATATATATATATATATATATATATATATATATATATATATATATTGGTAATTGGTCATTCCATAATAGAATTCTAGATGTGAAGATCAGAAAAAGACGAACGCGTGTTCGAAATAAACGAAGAGCGTATTCTGAAGCCGTGGGAATTGGATGGCAGAACGTGTCACTACTCGGTGATGATCAGTTGTTGAGGAGTTTGAGTGTTCTCCGATGTCGTAAACAAACCCTTGGAGTAAAGTATTAATTGGTAAAAATGTTGTAAGTGAAACGGGACATAAAACTGTGTGTGGCAAGGAGCTGCCACGATTGGTATTGGGCCAAGGTGCACATGAAACGGTGTGCCGATGCGCATCTTCTCTCTTCAGATGACCCAGCGCGTGGAGTCTCGTGAGGAGCAAACCTACAGTGAAGTAATCGGTACGCTGCGTAAACACTCCAATTTTACCGACATTAAACTTTATATGGCATTGCGATGTTATTGAGTCTCTTTTTGATTTAGGATTAATATACAATTCATACCTATATGAAATGGCTTTCCATTTCAAAGAATATCTGAAGATCTGCACATCCGTAGCCACAGAAGTCGTAAAAAAGGCGAAAGGTACAATAGTATCAAATTTGATTTTTACAGGAAAAATGCTTGTTATGAAATAAAGAATTCAACAAATCGATGAGACACTTTACAATCTCTAAGCAATAAATGACTACAATTTATTTCCGCTGCATCAATTTTTACAGACATAAAATGTCAGACATAGTATGCCTTATTAATTATTATGCTTGTTGATATTTTTTATATTTTGTTTCTTTCCCTTTATCTTCTTACGTTGTCTTGATGACTTCTATTTACATTTCGCAACCTTATATATGTTCTAATACGCACCAGACAGAGAAAAACATCAAAATGTAAATTTAGGAATTGCTTGGCAATTTTTTGGGTGACCTTTTGAAAAAATGTATTTTTCCTTGAAAGAAACTGCCCATGAAAATTTGAAAATTCATTCTTCATGACAATGGTTGCTTGAAATAATTCCTCTGTAGGATATTTTAATTTTCCTTGATTCAATTCTTATCGCAAGTCCGGTGTTTCACTGCCAGATAATGAAATTTATCTTTCTCAAAGATATTGCGATAGAATTTTAGGAACTAATTGAGAATGATCTCCCTTTTTGCATTTAGCATTTGTGCCACAGCAAATGTGCTAGTGCATTTGTGTGCACATTACCAAAAAAAGCGTAAAAATGTAGCTGTACTGAAATTTAACTATTAGACCTGCAAGTATTTGCTACGGCGATTATACTTTTTACATTTAAATAAGACCAGTTCATATCCCTTATGGAGGTAACACACAAGGCCATTGGGTGATCGGAACTTTTGATACAGAGTATAACATTATCAGCTTCCACGATTCATTGGTAAGTCCTCTGCTAGGTACTGAAAGAACATATTTGAACAAAGCTGGGCATGAAAGAAATGTTCAATACATGAAACTATTTTTAAAACAGCTTACAGCGTGGGCAACGTCACATTTTGATAGTTATAATTAATTTGGTGTAGGTATATACACGGTTCACAGTGTCATAGTCTAACAATTTGATCAGATCTGTAATTGCGATTTAGTTGATTCGTACAGATTCTTTCAGTGCAAGTTTTTGCAGTTCCCTCGGGACAAAATTTTCAGTAATATTTATGAATATTGACATGGGCAAGTTCAAAAAGCTGTAGAAACAACAAACAAAAGAGAACTGTAGGTAGAATATACCGAAAATGCAATGTTTCACGACAGCCAATCCAAAGATAGAAATAACCCAAGTAAATACTACATAAATAGTGGTGGTGTGTGGGAGTGGGCTGCAGCTCGCCAGCCCTCGTCAAAATTATTTCATTTGTTTGATATTAAAATGAAATACGCAAAAGAGCATTTCTTACAATTGCAGACCAACGCAGCCCACTGCTGGTGCTTGACTAACGCGAAAAGCTTCCGCTGCCAATCCACACACACACACCCTCCCTGAGGCTGGCTGTCCCAGTGCATACACGGAAGTACACGCAAACGAGACGAGACTAGAGTGGTCTACTAGAGCGTGCAACTATTGCGTACGAGAAGTCCACAGAGATTGCACTGTGCAGAGAAGTGGCCAGTGTCATTCCTAGAGCAAAGTGTTAGCCAGCAGCTCCTTGAGCAAAAGTGTTGGCCTCGCAGAAGCCTATTGCTCTCGTATCAATGGACTCCGAAATCGTAAGTTCCAACGCGTCGAGCGACGCCGAGGAGGGGGATCCATCCGCCTGGCAGCAACTTCTGCTCCAGGCGGAAAACGAACACACCCGAAGAAGAAGAGGAAGAAGAAGAAGAAGCACTCTGATTCTTCCGGCATTGCTCATTTATAAAATCACCCCCCATATCCCCCACTTTCTCCTCCCACTCATCACCAACTACCTGACTGACC